TTTAAAGCGGACTATTAAAATAAAAGTGTTACCTAACCTTCTTGTCATTGCAAAAAAAATCAAATGTGGTTTTCAAAAATCCATGGATACAAGTTGGGGTGGTCCCCCTAGTGGCAGTTATCCATAAAATCCAAATTGGCCCCCGCCGAAAAGAGAAAAGGTTATATCTCAGCTTCCTTTAGTCTTAAATTGTTGTATAATGTATTTTTTTCTACTTTGTTTGATACAAGGAATCCAATTCTGATATATTCTTCTTATTTTAAGTCCATTTCCTTGTTAAATCTATTATCATAGTCATATTTAGCGCAAATAAACTGTCAATATCTCGGAAAAAGTCACATTGAAATATTATTCCGGCCTCTAGACCCATATTTTTACCTCCAATGTATGCTTTTCTTTGTTGATTGGACAGGTCACTATCACTATAGTGTCAAAAATCACATGTTGTGACCAAAAGGACCATTGTTGAGGCTTTAAATGAACACAAATTCAGAACTATGCCACAGTGAAAAGTTATATTAGGCTTTTCACCATGTTAAGGATCAATATTACATTTTGATCAGTCAAATAACACAAAAATACAATACATACTTAAACATCATGTATTTATAAAAAAAAATCACTCTTCATCATTATTAGTACAGCCTCCCTCACCCTTGCACAAGCACTGCCCCTCTTCCATGCGTTCAAAGGATGTGACGTTGTATCAGCAATGTATGGAATTGGCAAAAAAACTGCATGGGATGCGTGGGCAGCTTACCCAGAAGCCCCCGACACCCTCATTGTGATCACCCAAGACCCAACCAGCCTCACACTGGAATTAGTGCAAATGCGAGTTCTCGAACGCTGGACTGTACTCATGTACACTCTGAAGGGTTGGTCAAAATCCCTTGCCTCTTCAAATACATCTATAATCATATATCCTTTTGAATGCTTATATACTTCCTTTATAAAAATCAATAATCAAATATATTCATTATCACATAATCATTTTTATATTCTTTGTGCTTGTGAAATTATATTTTCTTAAATGCATGTGGTGTAAGTATTAGTAACCAGTTTCTTTTAGGTGCATTTCAATCTTACTTTGAGATTGCACGCAGGACACGAAGGCCACGTAACCCACAAGGCCGTTTGTCTCTTTCTCTGGGATCAGTAGAGGGTCCTAAAGGCAGCGTGGACACATATGATTCTTCCTTGGACATATGGTCAAGCTATATTGAGCGTTACTATCGACCTTTAATTGTTGTATTAAAATGTATTCTTTCCAGTATATTTCCTTCCTTGGGAGTAAATGCCAGTGATCTGTTTTTCTCCCAAACGAGTGAATGTTTTAGCATTATGTTTTGGTATACTTAACTGATAATAAGGAGCTCAGACTCTCTTCAGCCTTGATGGGAGCTGTTATTTGCTAGTGTCTGTTATTTGTGTGTGTGTGTGTGTGTGCGTATGACATTCTATGTAGGTTCTGGACGTTCGGACCAGACACCCCGGCGCCCTTCTCTAACCTGCGAGGCCACCACAGACCTAAATCTAATGAGTGGACGACAACTATCTTTTGACTAATGGCGATAGGCACCCCTATCTCCTCACATGTGTTAAATTGCTTAGGCTTTCATGTTTCTTAGCCAATGAGAATCATTCAACCTGAAGTAATGACGTAGCTTAGACCTTGGAAATGGTATAACTGCTGTGATCTTTGTAACTGTAAGGGGGGCGGCCTACGAACTCCTGTGTGAGTCTTGAAGCTGACTTCTGCTGATGAAACTGCAACCTATCTTCAGTAAAACTTTTCTTTAATTTTTTATAATTCTGACTCCGGGTCTTCATTCTTCATATCTGGTTCTGGGTCTTTGACTGTATACCCCTAACAGTGCAAATCGTCATTCACGTATGAATCGCCTTGGGTGTGTGTGTGTGAACTAACCACGAGCAACACATTTGTTACTGTATAATACAACTGAACTGTTAATTGTTTATTCATGTTATGTCACAGTCAGTGCATTAACTATGATAACAAATACAACTTTTGATTTTAATGTTTTAGTAAATGCTGAAATTAATATTAACTAAGATTAATAAATGCTGTAGAAGTGCAGTTCTTTATTAGCTAATGTTAACTAATTTAACTAATGAAACCTTATTGTAAAGTGTTACTGATTCATGATAGCTAACACTGTCTTTCATACATATAATACATGCATTAAATTTACAACATCAACAAAACTAAAAATAAATTACCTTCTTTATTCTCACTGTTTTGTTTGGTAAAGTAAATAATATTAAGTAATATTATCATCATCATTTCCCTATTCTCATTTGATGTGTTATGCATTCTAATAATTGTATCAACATATTTTCTTAGAATGCCAAAGAAAGAAATAATAAAATAAAATAAAAAAATCAAGGAACTCTCTGATGCAGGCAAAGGAAGCATCCCTCTCACAAGTTGGCTGAAAAGAGAGAATAAAATGCAGGTACTGTTAAATTAAATTAAATAAAAATGTAGTGCCCTTTTTGGTCCCTGCGCCCCTGAGGAGGTCTGTGCACACCACTGATTAGGAGTGAATATCCAAATCAGTGAGTTTTGTCTTTATTTGTTGATTAAAAATGAACTACTGTTGCTTTCATTGTGTAATTGCCTCAGTATGTGTGATGCAAATAACACTGCCCTTATGACCCAGCTAACTTGGCTAACGTTCTGGCGAGGTTCTCTCCAAGTTATGGACAAACGTTCTTCCAGTCACGCAAATAGAGCGTTCGTTCAGAGTTATGTGGGCTTTAATAACGTTCTCACAATGTTAGCACAAAAAAAGTTATACCAGTAATTGTTCATGGAAGGTTTTTTTTCTGAAACATTTAGACGTTTGACTAACGTGTTTTATGTTAATACTTGTTTCAGAATGTTCCCTTAACTTTATTATAACCAAGACAATTTTCAGAAATAACGTTTTCATAACTTAATAGGAATGTTAGCAAAACATATTTTTGTTAGCTAGGTACATTAGTGTGTGTCTCAGAAGTGAATCGTACATGCATCATTCTCAAGGAATGCATGGACTGACACAAATGTTTACCTTGAGTCCAATTCAAGTCGCTTTTTAAAATGATCGAGATAATGTCGAGATAATGGGATACTTCATGTCTTGCAGGTGAAAGGTCTTTCTGCTGGCCAAAATTAAATCAAGTACTAAGCACTACATACTGCCTCTCAAAACGTAGGGTAATTCTGACTTTCTCTGCTCTTGAAAGAGTGTTCTCCTCCAGGTGACCAGTCCAGCATTATCAGCAAGCAGCGGAGAGGAAGGGTTAAAGCTTAAAGGTCAAACAGCTTTAAAAGGTTGGGAGATTTTCAAGAGTCAGCCGATCTTACAGCATTGTCTTCAACCGTTTGGAAAGGATAGACTGTGCTGAGCATTTTATATTGAACAACATTGCTGTTGTGTAAAGAGGTCTGTGTTTGAGTGTGTGTGTGTGTTCCCAGCATGCATTGCGACATGCATAAATGATACAGGTAATGTTGAGGTTGAGGATTTGTTTCTCACTAAAAAAACAGCCTACAACAGTTTTGCAAGTTGGCTAAATAACAAATTACTGACGACATTTTGAGATTAAAAAAAAACTATTCATGTTGCCTTGATTTTTATTATTACAGTGCAAAATAAAACATTTCAGTATTTTGATGCGTTTCTTTGGCCAGAAGATTCCATAATAATATTATGCATTAGTTAACACGTTCCATAAAACATAGCTTCATGTTATTTGTTGCCCTGTTTTGTACTAGATTAATACAGCATGTCTTTATTAAAGACATCACGCATCAGTGTTTGAGGTTTGCTATGCATCCATGAGTGATAGAGCTTATAGTTATAGCTGAGCTTATTTGTTATTAAATGACAAGATGCAAAATGTCTTCAAATAATTCAAAATGTAGTCTATTTTCAACTTCACCTTTCATTCTAAAATGCATCGACCTGTTTTCCAGATGTATAAAGGACAATCTTCAATGATTTGGCGACATCTTGAGGTGATGAAACAGCATCGGTCAACACATTTACATAATTGCACCAGTTAATATAAAGTCGTAAGAAAAGGCTGTGGGATTTGAAGAAGTGTCTTAAAATCCTAAATTTAATAAAAAAAATTACTGAGATCATTGCATTAAACAGATTCACCGACTGCATGGCAGAGGCATAAAACATTTTAATTGCTTCCAAAAAACACACGTTTTCACAAGCTGTTTCTGTACAATATTCGCTGCTTAGCGCTTTTTTTTGAGCACATGGCGCTTTTGAGCGCGTCTCTCAGTGTCAGCGGGGGTCTGTAGAGTTGAAGAAGAAGACGCAACCGGAAGCTTTTGATGCTGAAAACTCTCCCCAGAGACCGAAAGTTCATCCATGTACTGCTGCAGATTGATCTTCAGTTGTTCATTCTCCTGTAACAGAAGCCCTTTCTCTCGCTTCAGACACAAACTGTCAAGCTGAACCTTGTTGTAACGTTGCCAAAACTTCCCAAGAGGAGAATAGTCATGTATTAGCTGTGGACAGAGGATAGGACAAGGGGAGAAAAGTCAAAAGACAACACAAATGATATACTGAATTTAACAGATGACTAGAATAATGCAAAAGAACTGCTAGTACACATCAAATTAAAGTAATGAATCTGCATGAAAAATCTGAAATGACTTCCCCCAAAGCGACATATATCCGAGTGAAACAGGATATCCATTGAGAAAATAAAGATCTGGAATTAACTGGATTGTAAAAAGCGGCCACTCCATGTGAAAATGATGGCAGATTTAAAAGCAAGTTTACAGTGGTTTGTGGGATTGTGATGGAGTGTGATTTGAATAAACCTGAGGGAGTCTGACCTGCAACTTCTGAATCTCCTTTTTATGTGCGTCAATCTCATTTTCACTCTGTTTATTCTTGAGATCCAGAGACTCACATGCTTTAGACAAGGTTTCGATGTACTCTTTCTGTTTGTGTAAATCCTTCAGCTCTCGCCACAGTTTATCCACTTCTCCTTTCTTCTCGGCTTTCTTAGACATGTTTGCTGACTGTGGATCACAGATTCAAAAGTCCTCAAAAGAGAAGATGTATTTTATTACACAAAATCAGAACTGGCTTGTCAAGACAGACAGATAGATAGATAGATAGATAGATAGATAGATAGATAGATAGATAGATAGATAGATAGATAGATAGATAGATAGATAGATAGATAGATAGATAGATAGATAGATAGATAGATAGATAGATAGATAGATAGATAGACAGACTCTGGGCTTCTTCGTTTAGGGGTTACACTTAGCTTCCTCCCGGTCAAAAAAGACAGAAGTCTTAAAATGTAATACCCCCCCCCCCCCCCCCCCCCCCCCCCTTCAGGAAAACCAATTAAATATAATCTTGTTCAATAATATTTTTTTTTATTATTATTATGAATTTTTAAAGATTTTTATGATACTTTGCATTAATTATATAATTTTTATGAGCTATTTTTTCCATTAGAATTAATATAATATTTTTCTATTATATAAAAAAAAAAAAATTCAATAAATGCAGCATTTCACATCAAAATAGAGTGCAGGCTGCAGGCAAAAAAAAAAAAAAAAAATTCAAGTGAGAAGAGCGCCATCCAGTGGCTTTAAAAATATATAAAAGTGTGAAATGTCCTGTAACGCCTGTAGCTGCCTATATAAATACATAGAAAGGCTTTTTGATTCCTATTGTTGTTTTAGACATGATTTCTCTCTCTTATTCGTTTTTTTATTTTTATTTAGATATATATTTAGATATTCTAAAATACTTTTTTAGAATAGTATTAGGTTTTGCATTATGATTACAATCAAACAATAACATTTGGTTAGAAAGGGAACACAATGCAAAGATTTTTGTTACTCAGTATTTGATAAAGCTGTACACTTTTTTTCTGCACAGTGGCTGATCTGTAGTTTGTACCACCAAAAGTTTCTCTGAGTTTTCCTATTTTTTCGTATTTCCCAATAGTTTCCTATGGTCGGTCATTTTTGACCGGGAGGAAGCTAACGTTAAGTGTGACTATTTTTTTACGACCCTTTAACATATCCGAATCATCTCCTTGATTATTTTGTGTGTTCACATAGGTAATCTACAACCAAAGTCACCAAGTTTCATCCCCCTCCGATGAAGCAAAAAAAATGAAACATTTCAAAACGTAACAGTTTTCGGTCATTTTTGACCGAAGAAGCCCAGAGGGTTAAACTTTTTCCGTGCAGTAAGCTGTAGAAATTGAAAAAGATACACAAAACGTGTCCATTTCTAATATTTACAATTGTGGTTGGTAAAAATAATAATATTTTAGCGCTACTAGCATTATTTCCCATCGTCTTACCTTGTGATGTCCGCCTGTGAAACGTTTCTGTTGACCGTTTCCTAGCAACCACCAACATATTTCCAGCGGTGCGCGCGTATCTTTCAAATCACTAAAATAACAGTTGATGTCGTTCTGACACTAGATAAAAAGTCAAACGATTCCAAATGTATCCCCCCCCCCCCCCCCCCCCTCCCCCCTCAATATCATATAGGCCTATTATTGTCCAATAATATTTTTTTTTTTCAGGCAAAATCAATATCATATAGGCCTATTATTGTCCAATAATATTTTTTTCTGGCAAAAATCAATATCATATAGGCCTATTATTGTCCAATAATATTTTTTCCCCCGGCAAAATCAATGTCATATTAGGCCTATTATTGTCCAATAATATTTGTATATTTTACCACCTTGATGTTTAAATAGGTAACTGTTTATAACTGTTTACTTATTTAAAGTCAAGAGTTTTGTTTGATTATCATTACAACATAAATTTGCTACATTCCAGTAGAACCGCAGCCGCTGCACAAACGACAAAAACTGATGAAGGAAGATTGTCAGCCGATTGCATCAGAAAATGAAAATGAAGAAGCTCGTCTTTAGTCTGCTAAATTATTGTGTAATGTCAAAGAACACTAAAATTACTTAAGTTTGAAACCAAGATCGAACATTTCAAGGTTTAAATAGTGTCGGGACAGTTTTTTTTTATCTAAAACAGGGTTGCATCGGGTTTAGAGTTTATTTCTTTTGCGATGCTAAATAAGAAACAATAGGCTAATCTTATTCTTGCGACATTTTAAATTTGTATTGCCAAAGAAATTACAGCTAAATTAAACAATTAAAACAGTACAAAACGAAAATTGTCCAAAGAAACATATTAAATTAAAAACATGCGTTTTTCTTTGCCTCTCTCGCGCTGGATCTCTTTTTAACAAGTTTGTTTAGTCTCCCTCCCTGCGCGCGCCAGGTCTCTCTCGAAATTAAACATTTCAGGGTAAAAACACATCATACAGCTGATAATACTGTATATGTCGCTGCGTGTCAGCCATTCAAATCACGAAATAATTATTTAGCCTTTAATTGTTGCTTCAAAGACACAGCATGCCTTGTTGAATTAACCTTACATTCATACTTTCTGATATCATCTCATTAAATCCTGTGGTTTTGTAACATAGAAACCTGCATTTTCTGTAAAGCTGCCTTGAAATTATATGTATTGTGTAAAGGGTTATACAAATGAATGTTTAAAATTAAATTGAATTGACTTGAAAGTGCCATTGCATGGTTTATGGACCCAATCTGACAATACAGAAGAGCTATCACATTGTTGGCCCATTTGGTTTCATGATGATTTATACCCTGCATCTGTGCTTGAATATAATCATGCACAATTTCAAATATTTTTACTGTATAACTTTGAAATCATGGACCCATGAAGTTGACATAGTACAGTTAGAAGAGCCTTGCATTGTTGGCTCAACTGGGGGCTCTATATCTCAGCTGTGTTTGAGGGAGCGTTAAAGGTGCACTGGGGCCTTTATACCCATTGTGCTTGCCTGTCACCCTGCACAAGATTAGACTTTTTTTTACTGTTGCATTTTGAAGCTATGCACCCATGAAGTTGACAGATGTCAACTATGCAGTGATAGGAGAAGTTGCAGTTTTGATTTCAATTGCATTTTCTGCCCATTACGCGGCGCTGTTTCTCGGCCGCCTCAGAGGGTGCGTTAAAGTGGACATGAGTACATTATAGTAGAGCTACTCCTCGAACGAAACCCAAAATTTGAGCAATTATTACTGTGGAATCTTGTTTTTATGAAGCTTTGAACTTTGCACTTTACACAATGCACAATGAGCCGCCTATTGCATTTTCTGGCCATTTCGCGGCGCTGTTTCTCGGCCGCCTCAGAGGGTGCGTTAAATTGGACATTGTCCCATAATATGACAGCTGTTCCTCTAATGAAATCCAAATTTTGAGCAGTTTTTACTGTATAATTTTTTTAAATAAATTTTGCATTTTACATAGTGCTCAATAAGCCGCCCAATGCATTTTCTGGCCATTTCGCAGCGCTGTTTCACGGCCGCCTCAGAGGGTGCGTTAAATTGGACATTGTCCCTTTATAGTAGAGCTATTCCTCTAATGAAATCCACATTTTGAGCAGTTTTTATCCCGCTTCTGGTATTTTTGTGGTTTTGACGAAGACATTTTCCTCTCAGTAACATAAAAACATAAAATTAACTTGCTAGGGTAGCAGATAAGTTCATGGTAATTCGCAACAAACCTCCGTATTCTGTTTAACACACATGTGTCAATTACAAGGCCGGCGGGCCAAACACGGCCCGCCGGTCCGTTACTTAGAGCGTAAATGGAAACAAGCGAATTTAGAGGTCTTTAGAATCGCGTGGAAAGACAGTGTGTCACGTTATAAAAAGGCTCTAAAAGCAGCCCTAATTATGGCCCCTCAAGAACAACTACAAAAACTACACTGGTGTTCAGGGACAGGCATTAAGCTGGTTCAGATCGTACTTATCAGACCGTTACCATTTTGTCTGTTTAAATGGGGAAAAATCAAAGATAACGTCAGTAGACTATGGAGTGCCGCAAGGATCGGTGTTAGGCCCTCTGCTATTCTCAATATATATGCTGCCACTTGGCAATATTATAAGAAAACATGGAATTAATTTCCACTGCTATGCTGATGACACTCAATTACATATTTCATCACGACAGATGAAAACACTAACTTATCTAAATTGACAGAGTGTCTTAAAGATATAAAATGCTGGATGACGTGTAATTTCCTGCTATTAAATCCAGATAAAACTGAGGTATTACTTATTGGTCCAAAAAACTACCCACAAAATCTCTTACAATACAACTTCAATTTAGAAGGATGTCCTGTTACTTTATCCACTACAGTAAAAGACCTGGGTGTTATACTAGACCACAACTTGTCTTTCGAAAATCATATTTCATATGTTACAAGAACTACATTTTTCCACCTTAGAAACATTGCTAAATTACGTAACATGCTATCTGTTTCTGATGCAGAAAAGTTAGTTCATGCATTCATGACCTCGAGACTAGATTACTGTAATGCTTTATTAGCTGGTTGTCCTGCATCTTCAATAAACAAGCTACAGTTAGTGCAAAATGCAGCCGCTTGAGTTCTTACTAGGTCAAGAAAATATGATCATATAACACCAATTTTATCATCTCTACACTGGTTACCTATCAAGTTCCGTATCAATTACAAAGTACTATTACTGACCTATAAAGCCCTAAATGGTTTAGCTCCTGTGTATTTAATGGACCTTCTATCGCCCTACAATCCATCGCATTCTTTAAGATCCCTAAATTCGAGGCTTCTGGTCATTCCTAGGATATCTAAGTCCACTAAAGGAGGGAGGGCGTTCTCATATTTAGTTCCTAAACTCTGGAATAGCCTTCCTGATACTGTTCGTGGCTCAGACTCGCTCTCCCAGTTCAAAAGACGCATCTCTTCAGCCAAGCATTCATATAATGCTTACCTTTTATACCACTGTTGAATCAGATCGAATGCATTAATATTATGAACAGCAGCTACGCTAATTATTTCCCATCTGCTTTTCTGCTGTTATCTCAGGACGCTAGTCCCGAGGTAAATAGCGTTCGTCAGCTCCAGTTTGTATCCAGCCTCTCA